GAGAGACTGTGAGGGGAGAGGGAGCAGAGTGTGCTCTTTTCCTCTCCGAGAAGTTTCATTTGGCATTTTTGGAAAGTAGCATACTGGAGTTTCCACAAGAGGAGGCAGCTGCGATAAAAGCCAAGACTGAGGAATGCACTGGTGTGGGCCAAGCAGAGCTCATTACCCTTTGGGGAAGAGCTGCTGGCTACTGACTCTGTTCTGGCTCTATGGTAGGGCGCATCCGAGAAATACAGAAGCATAGAGCTCATTGAAAGTTTCTGATGAAAGCATTTTTCAACAGAAAATACTGAGATTGCCTAAATGATTAATTTTTTGAGAAGTGGCTTCTGGCTTTGGGAAATGTTTTTCATTAAACTACAGAATATATGCAAAACAGTAACACATTGATTTGGCTATGCTGTCACAGTGCCTTCCTAGAGTCTATTTTAGTCTTCTGTTCACATTCTCTTCTCTGACACAGGGAGACTGTAATGGGTCCTGAGAGATGCACCTTGGTGCACGGATCCATCTTGGATGAGAAAATGGGAGCACAAAAGTGTGAACTCCAGTTCCCATGCAGCAAGGCATCAATTTGACAACATTCAATGTTTGAACTTTTCTGGAATGTGTTCATTTTTATGGAACCTCTCCTTGCCTTTTTTTCCCCAAAGCAAATATGCAATTTCTCTTCACACCTCCCTATCATTTTAATGACGGTGTTGTTATCAGTAAAACTTCGGTTGTGAAAAGACATTTTGGCCTAGCCTTGTCGAACAAGTAGGTAAATAGTGTAACCTCTCCAGGAGATAAAATGAAAATTTGTATGTGTCAGTTGGGGTTTTGAGGGGTTTGTTTTTCAGGGGATATTACAAAAATGACCCCCAAAAAACCCTCCGAGAAGTTGGCAACTGCTCAGCACTGAGTTAAAGCAGACTGGAGCTTGCAGATTTTTTCACAGTGTGGCCTGACCAGCCATCTGATGCATTTCTGTCGGCAGGGCTGGATGCAGAAATGGGAAGTGTCTGACTTCCTATATAGGTTTCAGGTTTAGGTTTTAGTTTAGGTGTTTTCCCTAAATGTCTGGCCTGTTTCCGCCTTCCTGAGGGGAAGATCGACTGGTAACTCCCAGTCCCTGTGGATGGCATGCTGCAGCAAGTAGCAAATGTAAACTCATTTCCTGAAATAACCTTGGCCATTCCCTGTTCCGAGATTAGCCTGGAGGGCTGGTCACGGCCCTGGAGGACCCTGTGGCCATCATTTAGAAGAAGGGCAAAGGAGTTGAGTCTTTAGATACTATTTGAAAATCAAAAAAGTTATTTTCCCTTGATTCTTCAGCTAGATCTCCCTTATTTATGGCAACAGTGCTAAAATATGCCTGATGAAGGGAGAACAATCCTTGAGTAGGGGCATGGGATGTAAAGAAACTGTTCTTAGTTCACCTGGCCAGCACTGTGCTGAATTATAGCTATACATAAGACTGCCTTCTCCAGAGCCACTGGCATGGCCCATTAGCAGGATTCCCAGTGCCCCAGGAAGGTTTAATTTGAGAACAGTGGTATGTCAGTGCACAGAGCCAAATGAGATCCAGTGGTGTACTCCAGGAATCAAGCTGCCCTGGTTGCCCAGAGCACAGGGAAGCTGCAGCATTAAGCTTCACTGGAGCCAGCTCAATGCCAGATGAACCACTTCAGCAAAAGCCAAGCAGCCCTAAAAGCACAGTGGTGGCATATTCGAGCTAATATCCTAGATTTTTACCTCTGTGTGCAAAACATTTTTGCAAAAACCTCATTTCGGTAGATCTGAGAGTTGAGTCTTTATTTAAAATAAGTGTTTAATTTTGCATGATCTTGACAACCCATCCACTGATGGGGTTTGTATGTTTTAGATACATTATACTTTGGGTAGTCTTAATTGACTCAGGTCACATGTTTGGACATTCTTAAATGTCTGCAGCATCACCACCCAAATTTTTAAGCTGAGGTTTAAGTAAATAGAACTTCCCATTATGTGTAATTGGGTGCAGGAAAAAGTGTTTCAAGTAAAGAAAGTTGTAACACGTTTGAATGCCTTTTGTTAATCCTCTTGACATTGTGAAGAATGAAGATGTTATTGCTGGTTTAAATGTGAAATGTCTCCAAAGGCACATCGGTATTCTTCATACACTGTACTTCCTTACTGTTTAAAAAAACTATTAATCTAGGTAATACCAGTCTTCAGTAAAAAAAAAGGAGATCATCAATTAGAATTAAATCTATCACAGTGATAACTGAAGGTTTCTGCAGTTTTCTACAGAAGTTTGCATTTCTACATTTAAAAAATATTGTGTTGTGGGGGAGGCTAGTTGTTTGTACCTTATGAATCAGCCTTGGAGATACACAAAATATAAGTATGTTTCTCTCCTCCCTGCAGTGTCTTTTTAGCCACTTTTATTTGGGCTGTTTATCTGCAGAGAAGAAGGAAATCAGAAAGAGTGTTAATGAAATTGAGTATGGTCTTTGTCTTTCATAGCTCAGCCAAGTTTCTAATGAGTACGTTTCTCTGGGTAAAAGCCAAGAACTGTGTATTGCTGTGGATGGGTAAAAGCTTTACAGTTGTGTATCTGATCGCTACACTGGCATCTGTGGGAGGGAAGAAACCTTAAATATGCGAGTGGAGATCATCTAGTTATTTGTGACATGGTAACAATGTGTATAAAGATATGATCTGACACGTATGTCAAAGTAATTCCTGTTGACTGACTTCAGGGAAAATGCATTGTAAATCCAACTACGACTTGGTGTGCTTGGGATTCTGATGCAAAGGTAGCTAGCTGCCATGGAGCTTTTTCTTCTGGGGCTGTCAGATTATTTATTTTGCAATCATGCTGATTTTCTCTGATTTTAATTCATTCAAGAAAAGTCATCTTTAGAAAAACAAACAAAAACCAGCACTCTTCCTTTCCTTTGCTTCTCTTTCTTGAAGCAACCGTCTGTATGTGGGAAATGGCATGTTAATGTCTTAAATTGGCAGGATGAATCCAGAAATGGCATTTGTAGTTTCTTGTGTTTTTTTTTTTAATAAAGTTCATCTTACCACAGAGTACGTCATTGCTGAAACTGAATTTTTGTAAGAGGTTTCATCTTTACCAACTTTCCTACCACCAAATTCTGAAACAGCTATTTTTAAAATGCTTTTAAAAGTGGGTTTTTTTCAACTCACAGCTATCAGATTTTCTTTATTTAATATTATCATGGCCATAGCAACGATACAGATGTATTTTAAGCACTCAAATGTGAAAATGGCCTTAACTGTTGCTACGAATGTCTGTCTTGTTCTTCATTGTACAACAATGATTATGCAAAAAGGGGCATAGGGGTTTATTAATTATTCAGCTCCAAGTCTGTTTATCTGGAAGAAGTATGTATAAAGTTATACTGGAAGTGATGCTTTCACTGGCTGCAGTTGCCAGCTTTGGTAACTGAAGCCTTTACCACTGTCAGTGCTTCAGTCTCCAAATCATGTGGCAGACAAATTTGAGCCCATTTTGCAGAAGAGGGATTGAAGAGAAAAGAGACCGAGTGGCTTCCCAGGGCAATACGTGACGGGTGTGACAGGACTGGCTGTTGGGTACAGCTGATGCTGTCCTCAGCCAGGATCTTAGCAGAAAGTGCTCATCCTTTCCAAAGGAGATAACATTTTCTTTACCGGGATTGCATAATTTTCAGTATTTTATTTCTTCTTGTTCTCTGTGAAATGCAAACTGTAGTGATAAAGACTGGAGTGCTTGAGGAGGATGCCTCCCAAATTAGCAAACTGTGGTTTCTTATGGAAAACCAGCATCCAAGCTACTGATGAAATACAGCCTAGGATAATGAAAGGCCTACCAGGGTTCGAAAGACCTCCATTTACATAAATATGCAGAGACATCTGTTACAGTCATGAGTGACCTGCTGGTTTAAATCATCACCAGGGGAAACGTCGTCGATCAGCATCGCCTGCAGTAGCAGGTGCTACTTTAGGCAGCAGGAATTACTGAAGAGGTTTTCGATGAACAAAGACGACCTTTCCGCTTGCCAGGAAGAGACATACGGGAAATTGAAAGACACAGCACACGCCCACGGCCTTTCATTTGTGAGACACGATGAGAGCACAGTGTGTGCCTCTGTGTCCAAATCTCTACGTGATTAGTTATAGGTATAGTGTGGATGACAGTGTTCCAAAGTTTATGTCTGAGGAGTATTATGTTTTTTGAAACCAAACTACTTATGTCAGATTCCCAAGCTGGAATGAATCATCAAGATTTAATGGAAAATGTTCAAAATAAATTCATCATCTAAGCCCAGTGTTTTTATTACCAGAGTATAAGCCCAAAATAGTAATGTAAAACCATCATCCTAAAGGTTGCGATTACTTAAGTGAAAAATGAAAGTTTAATTCTTGCTCACCATAATCTTATAATATTACAAGTTTATATAATGCAAGGATATTTGTATTCCTTGTTGGCTCAAGGTATATGGTGTTCTCTCTTTCTCTCCCCACTTTCCCCCTGCACCATTCACTGCATAACATGGCTTTGTAAGCAGAGAATCTGTCTTCAGTGGATGAATAACTGGACAGAAAACTGGATTTCAAATTTGGGGCTGCAGAAAGGTTATGATTTGGTGTGTTATATGTGACTGTAATTGTCAGCAGTTCTGAGAAAAAAAAATGCTCACATGGTAAAAAGGAGTGTCCAAAGAACGTGTGGTAAAGCCACTGAAGTAAAAGAATTGACATTTGAAAAGTCTCCCAAGATATAAAATGCTCCCTCTGTGTTTCTCGTATATGTTAAATACTGCTCTTTAATTATAATAAAGGGTGCAGTACAGCTTGAGTACTTGATTCACAATATTTAATGGGTGCCTCACACTGGGACATTACAGCTCTAATAACTGTGTGAGATCTTTAAATACCTTAGCAATTCCCACCTCTGTTTTGATAACACATTTTATACCAAATGAAGATAAAACAAAACCTGTTCTTTTCTCTCCTTTGAACAGAGCGTGGATCACACTTCTCGTAGACCTCATCATATTGAGGTTGGGCTAAGATGAGCATAACCAGTGACGAAGTGAATTTCTTGGTGTATCGCTATCTCCAGGAATCGGGTAAATTTCTGGTCTTTCCTCATAACTTCTGGTCATAAATGAAATGGGAAAATTGACTTTTCGCATGATATTGCTCTAGGAATGTTGCCTTGAGTGTTTCAGACTGATAGGCTAAATATTTCTCGCACAAACCCACATTTCTTTGAAATCATTGTCTTGAACATAAAAAAAGTGCAAACATGCACAGGTACAAAAGTAAACATTGCAGTTAGGCAAAACAAGGAAGTAAATAACATTATGTTAACAAATGTTTTGGTAGAGTAATATCATGTCAGCCAAAGTCATTTTTGGCAGCATGGGCACAAAGCACATATATGTTATATCTTTTTTCTTAGCTACCTGAAATTGTCTAAATTGGTTTTATGTTGGCTGTTAATGGAAATCTGTTTGCAAATTTCTGATGTTTTAGAATTTTGTTAGAGTAATTATGTATGTAAACTGAGCTGCGCAAGGGTCAGTGTGGCTCTGTCTCAATATCACTTCCATTTCTGTCTGTTTTCCTGTTGGAAAATATCACAGGGCTTTTCCTTTTAGAAGGAAATCTTAAAAAAATATTAAATTGAAACTTAAATTTTGGGTTTGTTTCCATAGTCTTGATTCCACTCTTTGACTGCAAGAAGTAGAGGGTCTATTAGCTAATGGAAAATATTTTGTTAGAGATGATAGGGGAGTTGAGAAACATTGACAAATAATTTATAGGCAGCATCACAGTTTACTTGGTACTGACCCTATGTTGGTAAAAGTAGAATTGACTAAAAATATTTCATGTTTCGTATGCTGAAATGAACAAAAATTTCTATGAAAAATACATGTTGTCCTGTCAGAAGCTTTGAAGCCAGTTTTAGAATAAACCCTCCAGACCTGAGAGATGTCTTGCACAGGGGACCAAAATCCCAGCATGATAAAAAGATGTGGGGTTAGCCTACTTCTGTTGGTCATTATAACTAGCATTCATTAGATATGTTACTTTGAGATGTTTCTTCTACTTGCAGGACTGTTTCTATCCCAGAAACCTAAATCCCTGCGTAAAGAACCTCCACTGAAATTACAAAGAAAATTTTTCATACTTTTTTAGTATTTGGTCTTTTAAAGCAGTTCTTTGAGAGTCCAGTTGTGGCCTGTGTTAGCTCTTTTCTCATGTTGTAATTCCATTCCACTGTCTAACAACAGAGCTTCATAAAAAAATAGTCTAGATCTGGCGTGCAAACAGATGAAAGAAAAAGAACTAACAAAACTAAAAACGTCATCCAGACAAAGTTAACTTTTAAAAATAAGCTGTTCTGTACCACAGTGGATAGAGCTTTTAGACATTAGAGTAGTGCACAGATGGACATAATCAAAGTGTAAAGAATCTTGAAATTATTTTACATTCTTATATTTGAGTTGTAGGAGATAATGCATGACAGTGTATTAATGCAGTAGCTTTTCCTGATGTGAAAAAAGAAAATTAACCTTTTTTATTTCTCTTGATACATCTGTAAGTGGATTAGTGTTGTGTAGTGATTCAGGAGACTTTACAAAGTCAGTCAAGAATGGTGGTATTCTAGGTAACCCATCTCCCACAAGCAAGTGGTCACTTTTGCCATTTTACAGAGAAGTTTACATACAAATTTTCATATTAATGGCCAGTTGTACTGCTCTTACCTTCATATGTAGAGGGCCAAAAGTTTCTCTTTTTTAGTCCACACATACTAAAGGCATTTTGTTTCCAGTGTTCTATTCTATTGTAAGAGAGTGAAAGTTCACTTTTTTTTTTCCCCGGGTACCTGTCGTTTAATCTTAACGTGTAAAGCTTCCAGGCTTTCCCATAAAGTGTAGGCAAACGGTGGGAGGAAGAGAGAAATGATGAAAGGAAATACATATGGCCAAATATCTGTATAAAAAAGCATAATATCCCTATAATATTTCACATATTTTTCATCTACAATGCACAGAAATACTTGAGATTATTTGAAACACTATAAAAAAGATTCTGGTGAGTGCTCTATGCTTCATTATGAAAATGCTGGCAGATGATTCTAGTAGAGGTTTACCTCTTCTAAAATTGAAGTTAGGTGTGAAATTCAGTAATTATATTTCCTCCTTAATTTTCTGTCAGACCAGAAAACTTGCGTGGGAGAGTATTGATAGAGTTAAACTGTCTAAACCATTATTGTTGCTTTTTAACAAACCTTGGCATACTTAGGGGAGTTTCAGTGAACTGGAAAAAGCAAATGTTGTGCCAGAATTTTTAAAGGTTAAACAAGATGATCCAGGTAACTATAGGTCAAGCAAAATCACTGGAAGGCTGAGACTAAATATCTCCAACAAAGATGAAGGGATGACCTCATGCCAAATGCCAGCCAGCAAATTTTTATGGATAATAGATCTAGTCAAACAAACTTGATACTGCTTTTTCCAAGATCAGAAATGAAGGTGACAGAGAGAGCTGTGCTGACATTAATACACTTAGGCTTCTGCTTTATGACATTTACTTACTGTTGTTGACACTGCAGTTAAAATTAAATAACAGTGAGTAAAATCAGTGTAATCCAGGGTTACCGAATGGATTAAAAAGGGGCTAACAGAAACATCTTGAAAAGTAATTAGAGTTGGGGAGTATTCATCTCAGAAGTTGCTTCTTGTGGGAACTCATAGGAATCTGTTCTTGGTGTAATAGTGCTCAATAGTTTTATCAGTTACCTGGAAGGAAATACAAAGTGATTCCCGAGTAAGTTTGCAGATGGAATGAAATAGTAAGTTGTGGCATTTGGTGAGTTATACTGACTGATCATGTGGTTTAACAGCCAGGGAGACTGCTTTGAGTTGCCTGCTGCTGGAGAAGATGTCTGCTCAAGGGGCAGTACAGTCAGATCCCCCCCATACAAGACAGGACTTGGACAAATTAAGGTTCTAAATGTTTAGCTGTATTAAAATAAGTGAGTAAATAGTTACCTCTTTACATAGGTGACTGTCTCAGTGTTTATCTACCCCCAGAAAAACAAAGCAGTCTGACATAATTTCCTTTTAGGCTCCATGTCTTAATGGCATAGGAATTCCACCACTAAGGGGACTAGGTGGTGTCACTTCCACTGAATGACCCCTTCTTGAGGTATAAAGAAAACAGGTGTTTATCTTCAGTTTAAGATTATTGCTTTCTATCCAAGGTCAAGTCTTGCAGTGTATAGTTTTCTTCTTTTTGCATATGAATTTTTTTGGTGCACAGTTTTAAATGACCATTCTCAAAAGTGCTGAGTACTTCCAAGCACTGTTTAGCTCAGGAGACAAACTTTTTAAAGTCAGGCTATATTTATTTTTAGGTGTCTTGATACAAAGTCTACTTTTAAGTGAAATGTTGGCCCCAATTACTAAAATCAGGCTTAGGTATGTCTACACTAAGAGTGTACAACCAGTGTTGAGATAGGAGCACACAAAATACTCTTGTGGTGGACATAGTTATACCAACAAAGCTAGTACACTGACAAAAGTGAAAAAAGCTATACCAAAGTAGCCACAATTCTGGCATCCAAATTATGTTGATTCGACTTTGTACCTCTTCAAACTCCTGAGAAGCACACTTTTGCTAGCAGCCATCTTCATTGCTGACATAGAACTTCACTTGTTTTTTTTCTGTTTCTAAAAAATCATACAGAATTCATAATGTAGAGTTTTCCTGTTCTGCTTTTCCCAAAAGAGAAACATGTATTTATTTGCCTTTTGGAATGGAGGTCTGAGTAGCACAAAACAATGAGGAGTAATAAGGATCCCAGGGAAATTTCTAAGAGGTTGGGGGGGTGGCAAAAAAAAAAAAAGGGAAATAAAATCTCTCACATAATTTTTAATCTAAAATGTACTGTCATTAGTTGTGAGTGACAAATCCCATCATCAGTCCAAATGCTACAGTAAATTACCTTCCCTACACAGCCCAACATGTCAATGCAGTTATTAAAGCTTTTAAAAATTTGGTATTTTTGATGCATTGATCAATTTACTGTGTTCCTTTTCTAGCACTTAAATGCATGTTGTAGTCTAGAATTCTTGTCTGAAAATCAGCTCCCCAGTTGTCTGTGTCTTACACTGTTCTCTAGTAGGGCATTTATTGTCATGGATGTCTGGCAATGACTGGTTAGAGTTAAGATGGTGTAGTAGTTTCCATTTTCACTCCTACTTTTACTTTTTGGTGTGAATTTCTCTGTGTTTTATGACACACACTTTCTCAGTGTATAATGTGCACCACATCTAAGACAATAAAAGCTCTAGCTAGATGTTTTTGCTAAAAGCTGTCAATGACACAGATACTGACTTGGGACAACTTACCCTTATACTTTAGAATTTTCACTTGGTTTCTTCCCAACCATAAAAATGAAGGCGGCTAAAAACATAGTTTTTTCCTTCTGTAAATTCAGGGTGATAGCAGCACATTGGTCGGCTTGGTTCACAGTTGACAGATTTTTCTTGTTTTCCTAGAAGATAAGATTCTCAGATTATAAGCACAGATTGAAGGGCATATAGAGCACAGAGGGCTTCTGTGAATCACAACACAAAATCCTTTGTAGTTAGGCATGTGCTCTTTCCTGTTAACCACATCCAATACATTTTACTGTCATTCTGCCTTTGGAAATTATGAGAGAATGCAAAGTGTGGATGTTCTGAAGCTTTGGGGATTTCATCATTGTGGAGGTGTTCAACTAGATACTAGTAGTCAGAAAAGTACTAAATTACATTTTGTCCAATGACATTTCTTATTTTTTTGAGAAGGAAGCAACGGAATTTGAAGGAAAATACCTTTTTTATAGAATCATGCTCCTTTTTAATGAAGAAACTTTATACAAAATGTAAATATCACATTTTTGGTGGGTAAGTTCTCAGGCAATAGTGAATGACTGAACATCAGTATTCTGTTCTTTTGAATTTGTGCCTTATGCAACAGTCTCTACTTATATAAGCCTGTGTAATTTTTCTGTGAAGTCCATGCTTTTCCTGTATGAGGTATGTTGAGAGTATTTTTTTGAACAACTGTG